CTTTTCTCAAAAAGATGTTTTCACTCTTCTCCCAAAAGACTCTAGTTTGACTCCGCTATATGGTTCGTTGATCTGATTGGTGGAAGTTTGCTCCTAAAAATGTTTTTTTTAAATGAAAACATGCACATGGTTTATCATGCCTGGTGTTTGTGTCTCTCTACAGTAGTGTGGAGTTGTGTGGGAGCAGAGAGCAGACTGGTTTGCTCTGTGGAGCAGAACGTGTCACGACTTGCTCAGATCCCTTTGGACACACGTCAGCTGCTGCATGGCTGCTCGGTCAGTCTGAACAGGTTTTTAATGCAGCACCTTTCTTCATGTTGTCTGAAAATGAAACTCAGTGAGGAAAGCACTGAGCACACTCTGTGCTTTCAGATGAGTGGGATTACACTGAAAGTTAATGGATCTGCACCCCAGCTGTCACCACGCAGACACAGACAAGTAAAGCAGTGTGATGGATTTTCCAATGATTTCAAGCTGCTGTTGACATTTTACCTCTCTCTGGCAGCAGGAGACAAAACTCTGACGGTGTTTACTGAGAGTGAAAGACGGACAGACTGAATGAATTAATGATGAGGAGGAAAATGTCAAAGGGCAGACAAACGAGTCCACTGAGACACACTGAGTCCACTGTAGTTCACTGTGAGACACATCCACATCTTAACCACACCACAGCAGGACATTACCACAGCAATAAAGTTTGGCTAATCTCAAGTGTGATGGACTCTGTCTCTATGGGTGTATGGAAGAAAGCAAACTGAATCTAATCTAAAAACAAGCGGATAATTGAAATGTATGCTAAGACATACAAACAGCAGGATGTTCATCAAAGCAGCTCAGTGTTCTGTCTAAACCCGCAGTCAGCGGGGCATGGAGTCGAAGTTTAGCATTTAAAGTCAAACGTAAAACTCCTCTGGTCATCCTCTGCATGGGATCATATGGGACACAGCAGAGGTCACTGAGGTCAGCATGTAGAAAGGGTTTACATCACTGCCCAACAAAAACTAATATTACAGTGGTGGATTTTTAAAGATTTAAGTTTTATCTTTGTTAGAAAGACAGAAAATACTTTAAAGACTGTCAGGACAACGTTTACAGCCGGATAAAAACAGGGAACATTTTCATTTCATGCTGCTCTGCAAACAGCAAAACAATGCTTCGGTTTGGACGTAGGGTCGTATTTTCATGGCAATACATCGACTAGCACAAGCAGCATGCCCACAGTTTGGTATTTCCTGACCTTGAAATTCGCTTTCCCCCTCTGCGTGGTGTTTTGGTGCCCAGCGCTTCGAGCGCAGTACACAGGGAAAAGAAATGCAAACAGGTGGAAGGTTCATTTAAATGGGCAGCATAAAGCCAGTTTGTTTTGTCTGTTGATATTTTGGTGGAAACTCAGACTGCGTCTCTTTGTGGTGCCACGCCCCGCTGTAACAGTAATTAACCACAGATTTAGGTCACATTTATGAATGCACAGATCTGGCTTTTTCTCTCCTGATACAGATCGTGAGATCCAAACTCAGGAATCTACCGATACAGCGTGCTGATCAGATACCACTGCTCACTTTTTCCTACATTTAAACTCTACTACTTCCTCACTATGTGAAGCTAGTGTTGTTTTTACTTTGTTTACTTTGATTGTGAAAGTTAGTTAGGTAGTGTCACTTTACTGAGTGTGCACCTGATCTGCTTAATACGTCACGACCAATATAAATCAAATGACTGTTTGCTCAAATCATCAGCGGATCCCCACTTAAAGACACACACACACACACACACACACACTGCGATCTTCTTACAGCATCCACCAACGTTTCTTCTCAGGTCACTGTTGATGTTGAACAATCCAAAGTGCTGTAGACCACCAGACATCACCAAAATGAAACAAAATAAAACACCTGACAGAGTGTGTACCGTGTATCTACTGCAGTGGCCCGGGTTTGAGTTCAGCCTGTTGCAGCATGTCATCTCCTCTCTCTTTACTGTACTGTCAAATAATAGCAAACGTGAAAATAATTATAATCTTGTCCTCGCTGTCTAAACCCTCCATTTGAAATGGTCCTAATTTAAATGCAGCATTTACCGACTGGAACATGTCGTGTTTGTCTCATATTGTCCTGAAGCGGGCAGAGAGTCGAGCAGGATCAACAGAGGCTGCAGGTCACGGTTGACTTTGACCATCACACAGTCAACGGTGCCTTAAGCCAGACTAAACCAATACGTCCTCCGCTGGTTACATGGTGCCTCCACCAGGGGGAGGGGTCTCTGAGTCACTGGTGAAGGGGCTGTCATCAGAAAGGAGCGTCACACTGTGACTGTTCTGCCTCCAATTCTCTCTCAGTCTCGCTTTTCCTCTTCATGCATCTTCATTTTAGGTGTCTTGATTTGTGATTTGAGCGGTCCCATTATTGTTTCTTTATTTTTAAGGCACAAGTCAGAAATGTAAAATAGTTTATAGTTACTTTGTACGATGTAGCTCCTCTCTGTTCTAGCACACTTGAACTGTACAACAGTAATAGTTTTATTATTGTGAAAAGTTGTGATTAGCTGCAATACTGTTTCTAGTCTTTATGAATTCATTAGTATTATTATTGTTTATCATAGACAATAATCAGTTTGTGTGGCAATTATTAAAACACTGGTGGTTGAACTCTCAAGTTCAGTTTTAGATTCACATTTCTTTTTAGTGATTGTTTTACAACGACAGACAAATATCAGTGAACATATTTACCTTGAACAGGGGAGGTCCTCAGTCTGGCACACAGTCCGTTAACGTCTCCATAACACTCCTGGATCTTGATCAGTGACTCAGCTCCCCTCAGCTCCATGAGCGAGCGCAGCTCCTGTAGTGAGCAGCCGAACTCCCCTTCGTGGTTGGCCTCGCCATGTTGTCCATGTTTGGACCCACGAAAAGAGTTGTTGGCCATGTCTCCTTCCTCTGGGACTCGACAGAGGCCTTCCCAAAAAACACAGACTCAGTGGTCGGCCCGAGTTGCAAATCTGGCCGTACAGGGACTCTGTGACTGCAGGGGGAGACAGATCAGGTTATTTCAGAAGTCTTATGGGAAAACAAATAAGTAGCTCTAGGGGAGATTGTAGAGAATATTATATATAATATGGACACAAGGTCGTGTCCTTGGTATTTGGTATTGTCTCTGGGAATATGGGGGTGTTCAATCTACAACTACATACATATTTATATTTGACTTTTTCAAATGATGACAACAAATGATTACGATGATGATTAAATGAGAACAATTAGATCATATCATCATGGTATGATTCATCAGAAAGACGATTTAATATTCACATATTGTTTAGTCAAATAGTGTTTAGCAATCCGTTTGGAGAGAAAGTTTAACATGAAGTCTCCCTCCACAAAATATATATATTTCTCTTCTTGTTCCTACAGTTGGATGTTTGACACTAGAAGGATGGTTTCACATTCATCTGTTGAAAGTGGAAAGTTTCTCTGTGCTCAGTGAAAATCCAAATGTAATGAGCTATAAGAAAGACTGAAGGCCACCAGTGCACACACACTGAGAACAGACTTCACAGTGAAGCAGAAGTCCTTTTGTGTCCAGCAGAAAAACCTTTCAAAGAAATGAAAGGTTTCCTTTGCATGATTTCTGAATGTTGAATGGGCTAGAAGGAACCTTTTTAAGGGTTTTAATGACAATATTACTGTTTTTTTGCAGACACACATGACTGTCCCAAACAGAGTATTTGTATACAACTTTAATGTTGCTTAATGAGCTTGTTGAACTGAACTGAGCTGATAAACTTGACATGCTGGTAGTGACAGTGAATAAATAAAGTAAGAATAAAATGAAACAAACTCCAGCTCAAACAACAGCACTTTGCTCAAGTGCAGCAGCAGGAGTAACAATCAAATCAAGGCAAGAACAAACTTATTGATAAAAATGACTGTGTGTGTGTGTTGGGCGGCAGGACTAGTGTGTCACGTTGTACTTGTGACGTGGTCTTACCTCATCACCGTTAGTAACCAGCTGAATGCTTGTGAAGCAGTCAAGACCTGACAGAGCTGATCAGACCGCTCTATTCTTAAAACCGTAGTTAACTAAAAACTAACACGTACATATGAACTGTTCATTCACTTTGAACAGACGGAGTGTGAATGGATATTTGTGTGTGCCTGCTCATACGTGAACTGAAAGCCTTTATACTTGTTCTGCACAGGTTGTGACCTCTGTGCCTTCAGCTGTAATCTGTCAATCAGTCAGCCGAGGCTTAATCTGAGCAAGAGAGAAGCAACCTGTTTGAGGCTGATGGAGAAACAGCTACTGAGAGGTGACCAGGCTGAACACAAGTCATATCGGTGAAAAGGTTGGAGCCTCTCGAGTGATACAACACACGGCCCCAAAACACAAACAGATCTGACAATGGGACGCCCAAATAAGACAGTAAATCCTCACCTGAGAGAGGCTGCAACAACATCATTTAGATTCTTATTGGAGAAATTACTAATGAACTAATCATCGCAGCGGGACATCAAACTACACAAACTACAAACTACAGCTGTATGAAAGAGTTCAATAAACTCAGCAGCCAGCCCTACACACTGAGGAAATACATTCAAAGAAACAACAAACAAACAAACCAAACACACTATTAAGAACCTGTCATTTGTGATAAAAGAGTATTATGACTTCATTAGTGCAGCACTGCGGAGAAGAAAGGCTTTACTTACAGAAATTTCCCCCATCGCCTCCTGTTAGCAGCAGCAGCAGGTATTAGTGGCAGTCTGATTACTCTGAGCAGCGTCACACTCACAGCTCCAGAAACAGCCCATAACCCGGCCACAGCGTCGGCAGTATGCACACCTGCTCCAAGATCACAATTTACACACAAAACCAGACGCTTTTTTACAAATTCCCTTCGACCTTCAGCAAGCTCACAGTCACAAGCAGCGCTCCATCGGAGGAAAAAACAGGAGCTGGCTAAATGATTATCTGAGGAAAGCCTCGCTTAATCTAATTAGACAATCTGTGGCTTCAGTGAGCGCCAGAGAGACTCTGCTGCTGCAGCTCCTCCTGCTGAGAGAGACACACCAGGTCCAC